GATAGATAGATAGATAGATAGATAGATAGATAGATAGATAGATAGATATGACCGCCCCATCCCCCACACACATGTGCAATAGAACTGTGGCCTACACAGGTTAGAACTAATTTCTCTGTCAGATAGTAGGAATAACCACATAGTCCTTGAGAATACTTGCTTCTTCAACGTCACTGTGCCTTCCCCTAAGCATGTCTGACATCAGATCCTTCTGGGCAGGGCAGAATGAGGAAATTGGGCAATAAAATGTATTCTTAGAGCTTTTTTCCTAAGCGTTTCCCCCATACTTTCTTGTATCTTGTAATCATTCATTCCCTAAAAATAATGTTTTTATTAATTCTTTGAGAATCCCGTGCAACCTATTTCAGGCATATTCACCTCCTTCCCCAGTTTCCCCAGGTTGAACCCTCACCAGTTTGTGCTCTCTTTCTCTCTCTTCTTGAAATCAATCAAGTCCAGTCTACGCTGCCCAGCTACTTTGGGGTAGAGTCTACTCTGGAGTGTAATTGAGCTACCATGGGTCAAACCATCAAAAACAAAACAAAACAACAACAAAAAAAACCCTGACTCTCCCTCTCCCAGACGCTGTCAAATGTCAGTAGCTTTCTAGTTAGGGGCGGGACCTCCTGTCTGGCTCCGCTCTCCATGTGGGAGCTTGTCTGACTTGCGCTCATGCAGGTCTTGTGCATTCCGTTACAATCCCTGTTTGCTCGCACGTGCAGCTCTCCTGTTATACCCAGAAAACGTCATTTTTCTGAAGTCAGCGAACCAACATTCTCCCCTCTTCTCTTAAGAATCTCTGAGCTGAAAATCTGGGCCCAGGGGTCCCTGCAGAGACTGATGCACCCACCAAGGACCGTGTATGGGAGGGCCCCTGCTCAGATGTAGCTGATAGGTAGCTCACTAGTAAGTGGAGCAGGAGCTGTCTCTGATACGGACTCTGATGCTCGCTCTTTGATCACCTCCCCTAATGGGGTGGCCGAGCCAGGCCACAGAGGAAGAGGATGCAGGCAATCCTAATAAGACTTGATGGGCTGGGGTCAGATGGTGGGGGAGGAAGGCTCAAAAAAAATAAAAATAAAAGTTACCAAGTTAAAAAAGAAAAAGAATCCCTGAGCTTTAGAGGGAAGGTTGTATACAGATGTCCCATTTAGGTCTAGGCATTCCACAATTTTTTATCCTTTACACCTTGACCAGTGTGGGTCTCTGTTAATTGTCATCTATTGCAAGAAGACGTTTGCGATCACTGATTCATAATTCTGTAACCTCCCTACCATACATCCGGTCTTAGACTAGTCTGATACTTAGTCCCTGGTTTGCAAAGGAGAGAACGATAACACCAAATTAGCAAATACTCTCTCAATAAAATGGGACCATGTCCTGGAGAATCTGGACTATAAATGGTCAGAATGACTATTCCAGCCCTTACTCTTATTTCTCTAAAGTTATTCATAAAATATTTCAGCCTTACAACATTTATGTCACACATGAAATGCAGCCGAGCACTTTCTGCTAATGGCAGAAGGACTTGATTGCATCATTGCTCTAGCATTTCACAAATACTTAGAATTACGTCCAGTTTGTATGTTTTTTTTTTTCTGAAATTACATTTATAGAAGTCAGAATTCTGAGATAGAAACAGTGGTTTCCTAAAATGGTGAAATGATTGCATACAACAGCATTGGCATATTGGTAATTCCAGATTTTAGAGTCCTCACTGCGCCAGCTGGAAACTGAGCCTGTAGAAGTCGAACAATTTGTGGAACATTTTAATTTTCTGAATGATATTTCCTCGAGTATACCTCAATTAGAAAATGACTTCTCCGTAATTTCTGAGCTGTATTCTATGGTGAGGTATTACAAGATTGATATTTCAGAAGAGCAGGTTGCCATCTACAGAATCCTCTTCATGAAGTTTAACCATCTGAAAACAACGATACGGTTAATTATCAAATATAAAGAGATCACCCTAACAAAATTCAGGAACAGTTTGGAAGCATATATCATTGGTCTACGAGTAGATGCATGTAATTTAAAAGATAAAGTAAGTGCCTTTTAAATTTTTTAATATTTTTATAGTTTTATATTAAAAAAACTATCTTAGTCTCATGTAATACTGTACACCTAGGTATTCATTTTCTATGGAATCATGGCTAAATTATTCAAACAAACTTACTTACCTTGTGTAGTACTTTGAATGAGAAATGTCTCTCATTTGAACCCTTGGTCCCCAGTTGGAGGCACTGTTTGGGGAGATCAAGAAGGAAAGCCTTGCTGGAGCCTGTCACGGGGATTGGGCTTTCAGAACAGAGTGCCTCAGACTTCCCCTCTGCCTCCTCGCTGAGCGCTAAGCTTTCTGCTCTGGCTGTGGGGCCTGGTTTCTACAGCCATTGTTTCCATGCTCTGATGATGGCTCTTTCAGCCCACTGGAACTGTGAGCCAGAACAAAGCAGTGAATACTGCTCCACTGCAGTATTTATCACAGCAGGAGATAAGGAGCCACAACACCGCGAGGTTAGACCTTGATGATTTGTGAAGCCGAGTGGGACATAAGACCACACATCTCTTTTTTAGTAACCCCTACCAGAAATGTAGCACTGTCTTCATCTATGAATGTGATGAAGAAGACAGCAAAGTTCTTCAACAACTGCATAAAAAGGATACACACAAAACTTTCCTAAGGTTGTCCTAGGCTTTTGAGTCAAGTGGTAACTTTATCATGTCAAAAGGTGGGTTCTGTAGTAATGATGTTGCCAGTAAGACATGTTTGTGTTCTGAGCGGTCTGGCCTCTCAGCGTGTCTTCCTTGTTGCCTGTAGATAAGAAGTCCCATTCTGCTCAATGCCAGTACTCCAGTGTCAACAGCCAAGGAGATGGTCGCGTCTTTCTCAGAAGAAGCTGCAATGTTGACTCAAAAAGTGAAAAAATACTCATGCTACCAGGCCTACTATGATGACACCCATTCCCTTAACATCGAAGAGATCATTCAGATTGTGTTGTCCGAGATCTCTGACATCGAGTGTGACCTGATGCTGAGAAAATTATTATGGGAGGCGCAAGAAGAGTGGGGGATACATTTCTGGAAATGGAGACGGTGCACTCTCCAAAACATCGATGTCGATATAGTGAAGAGAAATGTCTCCAACTGGCTGCATATAATCAACATCCTGGAAAAAGGTAAAGGCCGTGGGTGCATCTCAGGGCTTCCTACCCACCAAAGGCAAAGCCATCAGTCTTTACCACCCAGCATCTGCAGAGACAGCCTGTTAAAAGCACTTAGGTAGAAACTATCTGCTGAAGCAAGAAACAGCTTAAACCCTTGGGCAAGGGAAGTTATCTGTAATCCACAAGTAATCATGAACAGTTTTGTAACCTTGAAAGGTTGAGTTTCATGGGTAGAACTGCAGATATTTCAGAATCAGCTCTGACTCCCAGCGTTTGGGCCTGAGATGTTTTGTGCTATGACCCTGCCTGCAGAATCTTTTCCTAAATTCTTTATAAGGAGTTTATAGTGTCCTTTGGGCAGTTGGGAAAATACCTGAAGTAATTCTATGGCATTTCCCTGTGCTAATCACCAGTCACGTTTGAGCTGTTGCTCATGTTGACACACTGACCAATCCACATTCTCTGTATTGAACCTCGCTAAGATTGTCTTTGCCCCTATCAGTCACTACACCTCAGCCTAGAAAACCCCTCTAGAAGAGCCATCTAAACACTTTATCTTGCTGGCTGTTGAATTAAATATTCTAAGGCTGTAGCCCAGAAGTAGAGTGTGTGCTTTGAATGATGAAGCCGGATGTTCAATCCCTAGCACCAAATCAGAGGAACAGATGTAACAGTAATAGGTTACGGAATGAATGTCACTGTGACAGTGGAGCTCAGTCACATGCCTATAGTCCTAGCACGTAGGAGGCTGAGGCAGGAGGCTCACAAGTTCAAGGCCAATGTGAATTACATGAGAACCTGTCTCAGAAAAAGCACCATCTCAGCAAGAAAGCAAACAAGCAAAAGTCCACGTATGACATGTGTGTATACATATATCACAATGTTTAGACTCCCAGCTCTAACATACCACAAGTGTGCACACTCTCAGCAGTTTGTCATATGTTTCAGAGAACCATATATTAAGCGACAAGTAGACAACATACTTTTTTTCTTAAACATGTTTTTTATTTTTTAATTTTAATTAAAATACAGTTACATAATTTCCCCCTCTAATATCTTCCCTTTAATCCCTCTCAAATGTGTGGCCTCTTTTTCTATGGTTATTACTGTTACATACATAAATATGACCTGCTCAGTCGATTTAGTGTTGCTTGGATATCCATAATCTCAGGGCTGACTGCTTTGTATGATCTAACCCATTAGAGGGCTCATCCCCAGAGAACACTGATTTTCCCTCTCTTGGCATCCCTAACTTGCCCATAGGCCTTTGGTAAGCAGAGAGACCTGTGAGATTTCCCCTTCCATGTTAGCATCTCTCTCTCTCTCTCTCTCTCTCTCTCTCTCTCTCTCTCTCACACACACACACACACACACACACACACACGCACACACACACACAGTATGCATATACACTGGAAGCAGTCTGGGAAGCCTTTCTGATATTTACAGGTTTGCCTAAAATTGATATGGTGGGCCACCTCAAGCAATCAGTGGTAGACTTCAACCAAGAGCTGCCAATCATCACAGCGCTGGGAAACCCATGTCTCAAGCCACGGCACTGGGAGGCTCTGCAGCAGATCACTGGAAAGTCAACTGTTCTTGATAAAAACCTCTCAATTGAGAAACTTCTATCTCTCAAGGTAAATAGAGATAATAGACAAGAACACATTGACTCGTAAGGGGCAAGGAAACCTACAAGGAACTAAATTAGAAACCAGAGAGGTTAACAGCATATCTAGGACAGCAGGGAGTTGGTGACAGGATATTACGTTTATTGGGAGGGGGCCGGTTTTCATTTCGCCTTTATTACTGGGGTGATTCGGGAACAGTGACACTGGCTTTTATAGGTGACAAATGTCATTTGTTAACATGCTAGTTCTTATAGAGATTACATTTTATAGGAATAGAAATATCAAATGCACTGTAGCTTCTTTTACACATAGTAAGAATATATTACGGACATGTTAGGATAGCTTTGCCAATAATGATATTTTGCTTTAAGTGCCAAATTAGCAACAGTTTGATTTCACACAAAGCTCTGTCACACAGGGCTGTGGGTGTGGCTTCGTTTGCAGGGATCCCTAGGACCGGCATGTAGTGCATGCCTGTAATCTCAGCACTCTGGAGGTAGAGGTAAGAGGATCAGAAGTTTGAGGTCATCCTTGACTACATAGCCTACTTGAGGCCAGCCTGGTCTACATGAAATGCTACCTCAAAAATAACAAAGCAAATAAAAAGCTGTGTTATATAAAATTTTTAGTTTCCATAGTTCAAAAAGTTTACATTTTCTTGGTTAGGCTATAAGAATCTTTATTTTTTTAATTTTTGATAATTTCTGAAATAAAGCTAGCATATTATACCTATAATTCTCTTATAAGGAGGAACGTGGGAAATGCTTTGAAAGGATTTAGAGGAGATAGTTTTTAAAATTGGAGTGTTTCAAGTCTCTAGACCTAACCTCAGCATCCCTCCTGAACTCTGTGTATATGGTTATATTCCTGTTCATGTTTCTATTCATGTGCCCAAGCTCTGTCAAAAAAAAAATTAGCTTGCTTTTTATTGTCTACCTTCAAAGCTCTTCTTCTGCCCTCCCTTGGCTCAGTAATTGGCAGCTCCATTCTTCCAGCTCCTTACATGAAGCATTGCATTCTTCTGGTCATCTATTCCGTGTACTATTTCAGTCTTTCCTTGTTTCCTGGCTTACTACCAGAACCTCCTAACTGATTGGTGTACCTCAGAGCATTGTGGTAATTTTAAAGGTATGGTCTAATAATGTTTATTATTAGCCCTTATTACAGTGGTATATCTAACCCGCTATCACAATCACTAGCAGACACAGACACCTGCTGTATTGTAGAATAGCCTTCTCTTACCTGGGGCAGGGCAGATATTAACCCTCTAAACTACCTTTGCCTCCTAGCCCCATCCCAGGCTACCTCCTATCCATAATTCCATAAATACTTGCTTTTATTCATCTGGGCTGCTCCCTCCTAAACCATGGCATCTCTCTCCTTCCTTCTTCTTCCTCTCCCAGTACCTATCTATTCCTACCAAGATCCTTTTGTCCCCAAAGACTTGGAACTTTAGCCACACCCAGCTCCTTCTGCCCTTCCCAGATGTTGGCCTTTTAATGAGCCAATCAGTAATAATTGGAGAACATTCCATCTCATCACATGGGTATAGGAAGATAGTTCAGCATTAATAACAATGCCCACGACAGGACAGTGGCCAGATCTCAAGGCACTGAAATCAGCATTTGAATACATAGCACCAGACCCCCCCCCATAGCAGAGGGTGACAGCAAGATGAGGGTCTAGTGACAACAGCTGAGCTCATTCAGAAGAGCTGAAAGTCTAGGGTACTTCAAATATTTTAATTGCAGTGTCTTGGATAATTGGAACTAACTTATGCACAAGTCAGGTTCAGGGTAAGAATTTGGCAAGCTAAGAGCATCAGCAGACAGTAAGTCAGAATGAATAGGCATTACAGGGTGGCAGCTGGTGGCCTGCGTTAAACAGTGTCCCGTGGTACCCCAATATAATAACCTTGGAGTCATCCTTGACTCAGTAATATAATGGGTAGTTTAAAAAGAAAGTCTGGTACAGATTTTAGAGGGTCCAAATTAGTGAACATGAACAGAAGTGAGTAACGTGATGTCGTTAGGACCAGAGCATCCTACTTCTCTTTAAGTTACAGTGGCAGAGCTCATGAGGAGACAACCTTGTGGTCCACCCCAGTGAACTCCTGGGATATTCTAGAAAGGGAGAAGGGGTCAGTCTATGTAGGTTTACAAACATTTACCTTTCTTGGGTTTGACCAAGAGATGAGAATCATGTGGAAAAGACTTTGTGGGATAAGTCTTAACCCTATGGATGAAAGTGTTCATCTGTTTGTGCAGTCATGTATGAAGTAATGCAGTCGCATGACAACTGTTTAAGAGCTACAGGCTCTTGGGAACCTACTGTGTGGAAAGTCACAAAGTAAGTTAGAAGAGAACAAGAAACCATCTCTTCATAGTTGATCATTTGTGCTTTGGAGACTTTGTGCTCTAAGGGCTAATTCATCAAAAGCATTTACCTCCTTCTAAAATTGCACTAGTATCACCATTATTCGAAGCCCTACCTCTTTGTTTATAAAACTTTAGCCATAAAGTTTGACAAGGCTAGATTCACATGGCTCAAGTTTTGTATCTGGATTTTATTTTTAACCATCTCAGAATATATTAGGCAGGAAAGGTTATCTTTATTATAAAACTCTTAGTTTTGTGACTTTTGAATCTGTGTTAGCTAAGTAATAGATGAGATGTTATAGAGCTAGCCACTTTCCCAGTGCTGTTGGTTAAACCCATAAGCACTCACACCCATCCCAGCCCTCTGTGTCATCCTTGGCAAGCCATAAAAGATGGTGAAAGTTAGTCATTTTCTGGTTCATACCCCCCCCCAAGCTACACTGCAAAACACAGAGATGAAGCGTCTTCCTTTAGCCTGTGGATATTATTTATAGGAGTAGTGGTAGAGTCAGTTTTCTAATAAGAGAGAGAAACGGCAATCCAAGATCACTCAAAAGCTAGAGACTGAGAAGCTTTCCCTCTCCAAGTTTCTAGTATAATGAGTGAATCTAAAGATTTTTTTTTTATCAAGATATTAAGGAAACTTGCAGTCACTGCGCTTGGGAAGAAGGCTTGTATGTTTTACTAATGCATTAAAACACAAAGCAAAACACCCTTGGTCCTGGGCAGACTAGCAAAGAAAAAGGAGCTATGGAAATCTGGGTCCACCAGGTTACTCTCTTGGTTGAATACTCTTATGATTGTTGCAAAGCAGCAAAGGTATAGACATTAGGAAATGGCATTGTCTGCCTACACCTGAGGCACACGCAAACTCTTTTGCACTGCCTGGGACAAGAGGAAAAAGACATTCCAGTTGAACACGAAGCTTGAAAGGCAGCTGCTGACTGAACCAGAGCACTGTCATGATCCGGGCCCCGGGGTCTCTGTTGCAACATTAACCTCACCAGTTCCTTGCACATTTTAAGAAAAGAGTTCAAGTCTTCCATTTTAGATGCTTTGGGAATGATTTGCTCCTCTGGATTTTAGCTAATTTCTTCCTTTTAGATGTTTCCGTATGAAAAGAAAATAAACGAGATAGCAATCTCAGCAACTAATGAAGCTGCTCTTGAGAAGATGATGTTTAAGGTCATCGATCTCTGGAACACTTCTCCCTTGCACTTGGTTCTTCATCACTCAGAGGGCTACTCCATTCCAATCATCTCCTCCATTGACGACATTGTAGCTCAGCTGGAAGAATCCCAGGCCATCCTGGTTGTAATCAAAGGCTCTTCCTACCAGAGTGCAATTAAGGTAAATGCTGTGGCAAAGATTTGGGAATGTTTTCATTTTCTTCCGTCCAACAGTTTAACTTCGCTTTCTGCAAATTCATATTTGATTCTCAATTATATGAATCTTTCATATGTTTATATAGAAGACAATATTTAATAGTGTGAACACCAAAATACTTTTTATAGAAATACTCATTAATTGTTCTTGAGGAAATATCAAAATTTAATTTGGGTGGGAGATAAATTTAGATATATATATATATATAATACTCCCACAGTGGGGCTAAAGAGATGGCTCAGAGGTTAAGAGCACTGGCTGCTCTTCCAGAGGTCCTGAGTTCAACTCCTAGCAACCAGATTGTGGCTCACAACCATCTATAATGAAATCTAGTGCCCTCTTCTGGCGTTCAGGTGTATGTGCAGGCAGAACATTGTCTACATAATAAGAAATAAATCCTAAAAAAATACTCCCACAAAATATGACTTGGAGCAGATTCTCATAACTCATAACTGGCAACCCTGCACCTGATAGTTTACATAAAATTAATTTTCAAACTTTAAAAAACTTAATCAGGTATGTACTGCTAGACTCTTCATAATAAAATTCATATAATTGGTGTACAGATATGTACCTCTATACAAATAGATTACAGAGAGTTACAGAGAGGTCTGTGCTCAACAAATAGAATTCATATTATTTGTAAGTAGGTAAATGTTTGAGGAAAAGTATCATTTAGGTAGGCCTTAACAAGAAGATAATGTATTAACAAAAAGAGAACAAACCCAATGGATTATATTGTTAAAGAACATGTAATAAAATAAAAAGTATAATAAAAAGAAAAAAAAAACAAGATTCACAAAAAATGAAAAATATCATTTAAAATTTTTAACTTTCAAAGTGAGAAGCAAGAAGGAAGTCACATGTGTGGCCTAGCTGCAATTAGATAAAGCCTTGTGAAAATGCATGGCGCACTAATGCCGTCATTAAAACAAAAAGCACAAGGTTGTAAATGAAGCCTATTAATTCTACCACTTGGGGAAGCAGAGGCAGTTGAACCTCTGAGTTCAAAGCCAGCCATATCTACAAAGCTTGATTCAGGACACCAAGGAGGGCTACACAATAAGACTCTTATCTTAAAAAATAAATCAATAATCAATGTCATTTATATTATATATTATATTACATATTATTACATATTACATATTATATATTACATATAATATTACATATTATAAAACATATTGTATTACCTTAATACAACATAGAAGTAATTACAGAATAATAAGGAATGCTGGTAAATGTCAAAAGACAAATAGAAATGAGCTAAAAAAGAAGACTGAGGTACCAGTGAGGGTGAGTTAATTGGCTGTCTTTTAAATAAGCAAATTTTTTTTTATCAACAATTGACTTTTAACCAGTTTCTCACTATTTTTTAATGTAATAGTTATTTTTTTAAAAAGGTCTATCCAATGGACTTTTCTGAATAAAGAAAACTGCTAGGTAGGATGGTGGCACATACCTTTAAATCCAGTCTTCTGGAAGCAGAGGTAGGCAGAGCTCTGTGAGCTGCTGGCCAGCCTGATCTGCTTAGAGAATTTCAGGCCAGGCGGAACTTCATAGTAAGAGTCTGTCTCTTACTCCTTTCTTCTCTCCCTCATTCTCTTTGTCCCTTCTTCCCTCTCTACCCCACGCCCACACACTCTATCATTCCTGATATAAAACCTCTCTAGATGTCATTGCTAGCCTTTATATGTTTTTGACAAATCAGGTTATAGGACAATGTTAGGACAGCTTCATTTGTGTAAACTCTAAAAGATATTATATGTAAATATGTATACAAGAACAGAAAGACATAAGGGATTGAAATAGCATGCCTACCAAACACCTGGCTATCGCTCCATGACAGGAATTGTTGAATGGATCATTCATATTAATTTTATAATCTGCTTGTGGTACTTGAGTTAATTTTATGTATGTGTGCAAATCTTAAGAAAATATTTTTCACATAATGTATGAGAAAACTGGTTGAACAGGACATCTGAAAACTGAATAGAGTCAGAAATATTTTCATTTATGTCATTCTTTTTCAGTAGTTTTTTTGTCAATGATTACTGATTGCCTCACCTCAGTTTCTATTATGTGATTCCTACCCAGCAATTTCATGTGTTTTGATTGTTGTGTGTGGATTCCACCCCCACCCCCGTTTGTAGGATCTTGTGAGTGAATGGACTCAAAACATAACGCTCTTCTCTTATACCATTGATGAATGGATGAACTGTCAAAGAAATTGGCTTAATCTTGAACCAGTCTTTCATTCTTTAGAAATACAAAGGTAAGAAAAAAAAAAAAACATATACCATGTATGTATGGGTGGGAAAAAAATACATAGAAAGATTTAAACTTCTGTGATCTTCCAGAAATGATCTCTTCAATGAATGAACAGTAGCTGTCACGTGACTGTGAAATGTCACCTGTGGGTCATGTGTTTGAATATTTGATCTCAAGTTACTTGTGTTATTCAGGAAGATCAGGGAACCTTTAGGAGATATGCAGCCTTGCAGGAGGAAATGGCTCCTTGAGTGTGAGCCTTGAGGTTTCATAGCACATGGAACTTCCTGTTTGTCCTCAGCTGGCCTCCTGCTCCAGTTGCCATAGCTTCCCATGCTGGCGAAATATAACACACGCACAGTGGAGGCCAAAATAAACCCTTCCTTCCTTCCTTAATTGCTTCTAGCCTCACATTTTGTCACAGGGATAGAAAAAGTGACCACAGCATCATGATGCACATAGGAATGAACCCGTTAGACCACTATTATCTTCTCATTCATAGACTGTTACAAGAATCACCTTACTTTTCAAAACTTAATTCCCTTAATTGCTAATATAAAGATATATATAAAACAAAATACATCAGAGCATTACAATTCTTAAGCCATAATATCATGTATCTCCTGGGTTCTGGAAGATTTATATGGGTTTTGACATGAATGGTAAATATGCTTTCTAGTGGCATTCATACATAAATGAGAATTTCTCCCTTTGCACCAGATAGAATAGAGGGACTTAGCATTTGATAAACATTCCATTTTCCCCCTTCATCCACAGCTCTCGAAAATAATTGGCTTCTGGTTTCCTAAGGTGCTTAGTCTTGAGAGTGCTCAAATGGAGACAAATGAGTTACGCAGGCAGAATTTAAAGTCTAGGAAGCCATTCAGAAATCAGTAGGGAGTAGAGGCACGTGCAGGTTGAAGGCCCTTTATGATTGTAAAGACCTTGGGCACGGGTTAATTACTCTGAACTCTATGTTAGGGACAAAGGTTAGACGCCAGACATTGCAGGTGAGAACTGTCTGTGCAGAAGTACTGTTTTACAGGGAACAGTATTTACTTTTGTTACATATCTATAGTTCTTGTCATACAGATGCTTGGTGTACGGTTGTTCTGACAGCCTTCAAAGGTAAACCCACATACCTAAGGGGTGGACCCTTTATGGTTACCACAACTTTGACCTTTAAATTCAGTCTTTAAAACTACTTCTTACTAAAGATGTTTTGTTTTATTATTATTAATAAAGAGACTAGATGGTGGTTCTTCTACCAGATTTGTTAACCTAGGAAAGGAGTCTTTATTTGGGAGATGTTGGAGCTCCTTTACAGCATGTCTACAGCAAGGAAAAGATGGACTCAGTAATAAGTCTGTAACTAATGAAGGATGAGACCCAGTACCAATGCCAGGGAACCAGAGAGTCATCCTAGTGGGGCCCTTCTCCTAAACGTTCTACCACTTCCTATAGCCAGAGGCTGGAAGCACACTGGCTGTCAGGAGACATTCAAGATCCAGACTGTAGCATCTCTATGACACAGACAGCTTTTATTTATTTTGTATAGAATTTTAATGTATCTATTTTCTATTATATATTAAGTAAAATCTTGATAAATGAAAATTGTATGTTTAATCTGTCCTGTTTTTTTCTTGGAATATATACTATTTTTACAAAATAGATTAAATGTCCAACCAAGTAAAGCAAAGCTTATCAAAATTGTCTTATAAATTCAACAATTTTATAGATTTTAGTTATAACATTTTAAAAATTATTTACATTTAATTTTATTTTCTAAAGACAACTGACAGCAGAAACAAAGCTTTTCTCCCAGGTGCTTTCCATGTGGAGAGAAATTATGTCTCGAGTACTGAACAAACTAAACGCTTTGCATATAACTGTCACTACAGGCATCCTTGACATTCTGAAAACTTGCAATGAGCATCTTGAAACCATTAAGAAAAGTCTTGAGGTAAGCAATGGCACCCAAGGACAGCAGTACTGTGAAAACTGCAGAAACTGCCACCAAGGTAGAATTTCCTCTCTGCCGTCCCAGCCGGCAGCTTTTCTAACTCTCACTTCCATTTGTTGTTGTTTGATGAAAATGATATCAAAAGAGTAAATTAAAAAAAAGAAAGAAAGAAAGAAAAACCAAAAGAAGAAGAAAATTGATGGACTAGTCAACCCTGGCGCCGAAGGCCAAGCTTTTCCACATACCCACACTTCCTTTAAGCTTAAGCAAGCTTTGTACTGACTTAGATGGTACATCTAAAGTGCCAGCTGACACACACAGAGTGCCTAATGCTTTGCGGAAGGCTAATAATGGCGTTCCTAGCCCTGCCACCATTGAGTGGATAAGTGGTGCAGCAGAGGCTCTAACAGGATGCCTTGAGATTGGTGAGTCAGCCAGCAGCAGGTAATCCAGAACAGGGCAGGGAGTCAGAGAAGCTCCCGTGGAGGCACATTCTGCTCATGAAGACCTAGTGCTTACAGGACACATGCATGGACATCTTGGGCTGGTCCTCGGGCACAACCCCATGTCCATGGCTTTATGTCTCATGGTTCTCTTTACGCGCAGTCAACTCTGATCTAAAGATATTACATGAGAAATTGTAGAAAGGATTGACAAGTCTTAAATCATGAACTGCCCAAGTGGTGATGAAATCTCACGCCGTCCTATTCGTTGTCCAATGAATCTGCCTTGTACATAGTAAACATATCCCCTGCCTGCGTGGTAAACAGTTCATGCCTCCCTCACTTATTAGATCAACTGCCATAGTTTCACTACGCTGTCTCCCAGACAGCTCCTCAAGGTTCCAGGCTTCTAGAAGGGTCTTTCATTCAGATAAGAATGGTTTCTCTATGTGGGGTCTTGGCAGAGAGTTGCGTGGTCCCAACTGAAGAGCAGGTGGTTGTGTATCAAACAACACAGAAGCATCATGGGTAAAGAGGAATGATAAACTAGAACTGACAGGTGTCAACATTAAGGAGTGGAATGTGGGGGAGGGGTGCAAAGGAAAATATAAGGTCACTAAGGGATGGAAAAAAGCAAAATTGCAGAAGTAAAAAGGTGGGCTTTGGGAGTCCCCTGTAACATAAAGACTGCCATGCTTCCAAAAGACGGGGTCGGGCCCCGTGTCGCATGGGCGGCAGGGCAGTGCTCTTCCCAGCCGTGCTCTGGTCACTCACTTCTGTTTTCCATCCCCTCTGTTTTAGTTTTACCTTACTAAGTAGTTTAGCTCTCATGGAGCACAGGTTACAGTTTAGCCCGGAACTAGCGTGCCTGCTGTACCATTAAGGCTGTAGGTAAAGTAAGGATGTGATTCCTACTAGATTGGACATTTGTTCCCAACTTCATTTCTTTTGGCTTTGGACAGGAATTCCTTGAAATTAAAAGAATGATTTTCCCGAGATTTTACTTTCTCAGCAACGCTGAACTTCTTGATATACTAGCCATCAGCAGAAATCCTCAGGTGGTGCAGGTAAGGGCGTGCTCTCGCAGTCTGACTCTGTCGGGGCTCCCTGTATGAGTGACACGTGTGCTTTGGTTTTCAGCGTCATCTTGTGAAATGTTTTGAAAACATAAGACACCTGCTGCTGTGGAGACAGGAAATCGGCCCTCCTGCCGTGAAGATCCTCATCTCTGCTGAGGGAGAAGGCCTAGTGCTGCCCAAGTACGGGGACCGCGCTGCCACCAAACACTTAGACCCTGTAGAGCCCCTGTCCCAACGTCCCTGCCTTGAAACCTCAACACTAGACAGTTTGCTAAGTAAACTGTCTCTTCAAAGATCATATCCTTGTGTGAACATGTGCCCCTCAGCGCCTCACCGCAGGGAGCTAGTGGCTCGCCTTCACTTTACCTTAAAGTCGAAGCAAAGAAAGCCTCCGGCCCTGGGCACTAATTCACAGTCGGTTTTGTCCCATGTGAAGCTGACTTTTCAGATAAGACAGAAATCTGCTGTCTGGGGGTTGTTGGTGTCGTTCTGACCCGGGGTTCACCATGGTGGGCTCCCAGGCAAACGCAACAAGCCAAGGCTCTCTGTCTCCCTGACCCCGTTTACCAACCTCAGCTCTCCCACCTCCAGCAGTCGGCTCCTGACACAAGCTTTAATGAGAAAAAAAAAATGCTGTGCCCAGGCCTTCCTACCCAGCAAAGCCCCCAGCCCACTATAGCTTTGTTTAAAAAAATCATGAAAAATCCAAAAATACTTTAGGATACAACTTATCTCTCGTGAAGTCATATTTTATTTGGAATCTAATTATTGTGTATGCCTAGTTTTGATATCAGAATTCTCTAAACATATTTTTCTGCACGGTTTTCTAAGTGAAAAAATCAATTAAAACCAGAAGGTACAGTGTTATAGTTCTTTGCCCCATAAGGAATATGTATATTGAGGAATATTCATAATACTGTGGTAATTTTTGTAATTTTTGTAACAAATTATAGGAAAATCCGTGTGAGAGCTGCTGTAGAACAGTGGATGGTAAATGTAGAAAAAAGCATGTTTGATGTGCTAAAGAAGTAAGTACAGCGTTTAAATCCTGAAAAAAAAATGTATATTATATTATATACTGTGGGGGTTGTAACTTGGATAGGTACCAGTATAAGTGAAATAGAGAAACGCACAGAGTGGATTCTAAGAGAGCATGAGTGATGGGGAAACCCATTGCTTCTGAAGTGCGTAGAACCACGATGACGGCTCTGTTAGGGTGTTGGCGCAGGCTCGCCAGCGCCAAGCTTCAGCTAGCACCTGAGCTCACCTCAGCTCCAGAAAGCCTGCAGGCCCACTACTTTGTGTTTCTGTTGCACGTTGATTCCCTCAAGTCGTTGACTCAGTGTAGACCTGGAGGTTAGAGGCATGCTGGAGACAGAATGGGACCTTGTACACACTAGGGCAAGTGTTGTCTGAGTGTGAGCCCTTGCTTAGAATATTCAGTATTCTTTTTGTCTATTATTGCCATCTACTTACAGGGAAGAAAGGATTCCAGAGTATCAACTTTTAAAACTAATTTGACTAGAACAGTTATATTACATTTAAAATTTTTTATTAAAACTTTTTTCATACAATATATTCTTTTATTAATTAATTAATTTACTTTATATCCCAATAGGAACTTCCTCTCCCTCCTCTTCTCCCAGTCCCTCCCTCTCAACTTCCTGCCCCCCTGGGCCCCCCTCCCTTTCTCCTCAGAGAAGGGGGGACCTCCCATGGATATCAACCCACCTTGGCATATCAGGTTGAATTAGGACTGGGAGCATCTTCTGCTGAGGCTACACAAGGCCGTCCAGTTAAGGGGAAAGGGACCCACAGGCAGGCTACAGCCAGAGACAGCCCCTGCTCCTGCCCTTAGAGGTCCCACATGAGGACCAAGCTGCACATCTGTTCATATGTGCAGGGGGCCTAGGTCTGTCCCATGCATGCTCTCTGGTTGCTGGTTCAGTCTCCGTGAGCTCCTCTGGGCCCAGGTGAGTTGATTCTGTAGGTTTTCTTGGAGTGTTTTTGACCTCTCTGGTTCTTTCAATCCTTCCTTCATCTCTTCCACAAGATTCCCCAAGCTCTGCTAGGCTGTGGGTCTCTGCATCTGTTTCCAACAGCTGCCCGGTGAAGCGTCTCAGATGGCAGCTATGTTAGGTTCCTGTCTGCAAGTAGTGTCAGGGGTGGGCTCTCTCATGGCATGAGACTCAAGTTGGGCCAGGCATTGGTTGGCCATTCCCTCACTTTCTGCTCCCTCTTTATCCCTGGACCTCCTATAGGCAGCAAAAATTGTGGGTCAGAGGTTTTCTGGCTGGGTGGGTATTCCCATCCCTCCTTTGGAAGTCTAAGACTAACCTGGTTACAGGAGGTGACCGTTTCATGTTCCATATCCCGATTACTAGGAATCCCAGCAAGGGTCACCCTCATGGAATCTCAGGAGTTTCAGCTTGCTCCGGAGACACCCCACCCACTGATTCCATTTCCCTCTCTCCCCATCCTCCCACACTTGATCCCTCCTCTCCCCCTTCTTACACCTCTCCCACCCAACCCCCTATCTCCAGCCACCCTAGATGTCTGTTCTCTTTTCCCTTCTGAGTAGAGTTTAAGCATCCTCCCTTGGGGCCTCCTTGTTACGTAGCTTCTTTGGGTCTGTGGACTGCAGCCTGGTCATCCTGTACTATATGGCTAATATCCACTTACAAGTGAGTATACACCATCTGTGTCTTTCTGGGTCTGGGTTATCTCACTCAGGATGAGCTTTTCTAGTTTCATCCATTTGCCTGCAAATTGCCTGATGCCGTTGTTTTTAATAGCTTAATAGTATTTCATTGTGTAAATGTGTACCACATTTTCTTTATCCATTCTTTGGTTGAGGAACAGCTAGGTTGTTTCTAACTTCTGGCTATTACAAATAAAGCTGCTATAAACACATTTGAGCAAGTCTCCCCATGCTATGACAGAGCATCTTTTGGGTATATGCCCGTGAGTGGTATAGCTGGGTCGTGAGGTAGAACTATTCCCAATTTTCTGAGAAATTGCCAGATTAATTTCCAAAGTGGTTGTACAAGTTTGCTGTTCCCACCTTGATCCACATGCTCAGCAGTGTGTTGCTGTCACGTGAGTTTTTGGTCTTAGCCTTTCTGCCAGTGTCGATGGGTGTATGTGTTAACTTCTGGCTCTTTGATTCAATTCCATTGATCAACCTGTCTGTTTTTATGCCAATACCATAGAGTTTTTTTTCTTACTATTGCTCTGTAGAACAGCTTTTATTGTGCAGGATTGTTTTAGCTATCCTGGGTTTTTGTTTTTCCATATGAAGTTGAAAATTTTTCTTTCAAGGTCTGTAAAAAATTGTGTTGAATTTTTATGAGAATTAATTATACTGAATCTGTAGATTGCTTTTGGTAATATGTCCATTTTTGCTAATTTAATTGTACTGACCCAAGAGCATGTGAAACCTTTCCGTCTTCTGATACCTTTTTCTTTCTTCAAAGACTTGATCTGCTTGTCTAACAGGTCTTTCATTTGCTTGGTTTGAGTTACACCAAAATACTTTATATAATTTGTGGCTATTGAGAAGGGTGTAGTTTCCCTAATTTCTTTCTCAGCCCATTTGTTATTTATATACATGAGGAGTACAGATTTTTTTTAATTAACTTTGTATTCAGCCACTTTGCTGAAGCTGTTTATCAGTTGTAAGAGTTCTCTGGTAAAAATTTTTGGAGTCACTTATGCACAGTATCATACCATCTGTAAATAGCAATATTTTGACTTTTTCCTTTCCAGTTTGTATCCCTTTAATCTCCTTTAGTTGTCTTATTGCTCTAGCTAAAACATCAAGTACTACATTGAAAAGATATGGAAAGAGTGGGCAGCCTTGTCTTATCCCATTTTTAGTGGAATTTTGTTAAGTTTTTCTCCATTTAATTTGATATTGGCTTTTGGCTTGCTGTATATTGCCTTTATTGTGTTTAAGAATATTCCTTGTAGCCCTGATCTCTCCAATACTTTTATCATAAAGGAGTATTGGATTTTGTCAAAGGCTTTTTCAGCATCTAATGAGATGATCATGTGGTTTCTTTTTCCTTTCAGTTTTTTTTTCTTTATATGGTAGATTACGTTGATGGATTTACATCCCTGGGATGAAGCCTACTTGATCATGGTGGATGATGTTCTTGGATTTGGTTTGCAAGTATTTTATTATTTTCATCAATGTTCTTAAGGGAAATTAGTCTGAAATTGTACGCATAAGGTTACTGTGTAATTTAAATGCAGATTTCTTTCTTTAGATGTATTTATTATTTATACAATATTCTGCCTGCATGTGTACCAGCAGACTATAAGAGGGCACCAGATCACATTATAGATGGTTATGAGCCACCATATGGTTGCTGGGAATTGAACTCAGGACCTTTGGAAGAACAGCCAGTGCTCTTAACCTCTGAGCCATCTCTCCAGCCCCAAATACTGATTTCTGTACCCCCATCCCCACCATATCTGGTTGCAATTCTTGTTCTGAGAATCTTCTCTCTCAGTGTTGTATAAACACTGCTCCCCAGTTGTCCTCCGATATGCCAGTAAAGCAAGTTTATAGCCAATCGCTGAGCAGGGAAGAGAATAGGGCTAGAGTTCCTGCCAGCCAGGAAAAGAGAAATTAGAGGAGGAAGTAGGGGATTCAGCTACAGGCAGATATCCAGGAATCATCAGGAAAGAGGAGCTAGAACAAGAAAGCCATAAAGTGGAAGAACCTCTGGGATCTATGCTGAGGGAAAGCCAGACTAGCAGAGATGGTTAAGAACTGCTCAGGCTTTGCACTGTATACCTTTATAAACAAATAATATAACAGTCTCAATTATGTGGGTGATAGCTGGCTTAAGAGAATAACTGAGAAATAAGCACAATTTTATAAAAATAACTTTAACATGAAATTCTCTTTATTTGTTGGATCTTTGTGTAGTTTAGATATCAGGCTGACTGTGGCCTTATGAAATAAATTTGACAATGTTCACCCTGTTTTTATTTTGTGTAGTAGTTTGAGGAATATTGGTATTAGCTATTCTTTGAAAGACTGGTAGAATTTTGTACTAAAACCATCAGGTAGTGAGTTTGTTTCTTTTTTTTTTCTTTTCTTTTGTCTGCTTCTAATTCCTTAGAGTTTACAGGTATGTTTAAATTCTGTGGGCTACAGGCTTTTGAAGACCTAAGGATTCTTTGGATTTCCTCGGTGTCTATTATGTCTACTTTTCATTTCTGATTTTGTTAATTTTGATATTGTCTCTCTGCCTTTTAGTTAGTTTGGCTAAGGGTTTCTCTATCTTGTTGATTTTCTCAAAGAACCACCTCTTAGTTTCATTGATTCTTTGTATTGTTCTATTTGTTTTTAATTTATTGATTTTGATTACTCCCAAGTTTGATTACTCCTCTGTGTGTTTTTACTTCTTTTTGTTCTAAAGCTTTCAGGTGTGCTGTTAAGTTGCTGGTATGAAAACTCTCCCGAGTTCTTTATGGAGGTACCTAGTGCTAACTTTCCTCTTACCACTGCCTTCGTTGTGTCCCATAAGTATGAATTCTACAAAGTCTTTAATTTATTTCTTTATTTCTTCCCCAACCTCATGGTCATTGAGTAGAGTTTTTCAGTTTCTATGAGTTTGTAGGCTTTCTGTTGTTTCTGTTGTTGTTGAAGTCAAGCTTTAATCCTTGTTTGTCTGATAAGACACAAGGGTTTTTTTTTCAGTTTTCTTTTATCTGTGGATGTTTGCTTTGTGACCAAGTGTATGGTCAGTTTTAGAGAAGGTTCAATGAAGTGCTGAGGTGAAGGTATATTCTTTGTGTTTGGGTAAAATGTTCTGTAAATATCTGTTAGGTCCATTTGATTTGTGACATCTATCAGTTTCATTATTTCTCTGTTTAGTTTCTGCCTGGATGACCTGTCCATTGGTGAGGGTGGGGTGTTGAAGTCTCTCACTATTAATGTGCGGGGTTTTATGTGCAGTTTAAGCTTTAGCAATGTTCCTTTTACTAAATGTGGGTGCCCTTGCATTTGGGGCATAGATGTTCAGAGTTGAGAAGTCATCTTGGTGGATTTTTCCTTTGATAAGTATGAAGTGTGCTTCCTCATCTCTTTTGATTAATTTTGGTTGAAATTCTATTTTATTAGATATTAGACTGGCTACTCCAACTTGCTTCTTGGGTCCATTTGCTTGGAAAAACTTTTTTCCAGTCCTTTACTCTGAGGTAATTGTGTCTTTGTTGCTGAGGTGTGTTTCTTGTATGCAGCAGAATGATGGATCCTGTTTTTGCCTCCATTTTGTTAGCCTATGTCGTCTTACTGGGAAATTAAATCCTTTGATGTTGAGAGATATTATTGACCAATGATTGTTATTTTTTGTTATTTGGATGGTCGAGGTAGTAGTGAGTGTGTGTGTTTCCCTTCTTTTGTTTTTGATGGTGTGGAATTATTTCCTGTGTTTTCTTGTATGTCGTTAATCTACTTGTGTCAGAGTTTTCCTTCTAGTATACTCTGTAGGGCAAGGTTTGTGGAAAGATATTACTTAAATTTGATTTTGTCATGGAATAAATTGTTTTCTCCATCTCTGTGTTTAATCATCTCCATGGTGATTAAAAGTTTTGCAGGGAATAGTAGTCTGGGCTGGCATCTGTGGTCTCTTGGAGACTGGGAGATATCTGCCTTAGTACTGCTGGCTTTTAAAGTCCCTTTTGAGAAAACTGGTGTAAATCTAATAGGTTTGCCTTTATATGTTACTTGGCCTTTTTCCCTTGTGGCTTTTAATATTCTTTCTTAGTTTTGTACATTTAATGTTTTAATTATTATGTGATGGGAGGATTTTCTTTTTTGATCTAATCTACTTGGTGCTGTAAGCTTCTTGTGCATTTGTAGGTATCTCTTTATATTGGAAAAATTTTCTTCTATGTTTTTGTTGAAAATATTTTCTGGGCCTTGGAACTGGGAATCTTCTTCTTTTCCTATTATTCTTAGGTTTGGTCTTTCATAATGTCCCAGGTTTCTTGGATGTTTTTTGTCAGAATCTTTTTAGAGTTAACATTTTCTTTGATCAATGTATCTATTTTTTCAATCATATCTTCTATGCCTGAGATTCTATCTTCCATCTCTTGTATTCTGTTGGTGATCCTCATATCTGTAGTTCCTGTCCTCTTCCCTAGGTTTCCCATCTCCATGATTCCCTCAGTTTGTGTGGTTTTTTTTTGGTTTTTTTTGTTTGTTTGTTTGTTTGTTTGTTTTTATTGCTTATATTTTCATTTTCAGGTCTTGAACAGTTTTATTCATTTCCTTCACCTGTTTGATTGTATTTTCCTCTATTTTCTTTAAGGGATTTATTCATTTCCTCTTTAGAGGCCTCTATCATCTTCATTAAGATTGGATTTAAGATCGTCATCTTGTGCTTCAACTGTGTAAGGATCTCCAGGGCTTGTTATAGTAGGATAGCTGTGTGGTACCATATTGCCCTAGCTCTTGTTGGTTGTGTTCTTATGCTGACCTTTAGCCATTTGGTTGTCCCTGGTGTTGGTAGACCTTCAGTCATGCAGGCAGAGCTGTGGCCTGTGAAATGGAGCACACAGGGGACAGACAGGGTGAAGCTCACCACTGCTAGGCTTGTCCAGAAGGGACTGGGCAGGAAAGAAATTGCAGGAATCCGGTGTCTCCTGGTAGTCCCCATTGGCAGCAGGGTCTCTGTGAATGAGAGTTGTGGGAGGGAGAACGGAGTGCACAGGGGATAGGGCAGAGCTTACCACTGTTGGATTTGGGCAGGGAGTGGGACACCCAGCTAGCAGGGGTTTGGGTCATATGGTCACCTGGCCATACTGGGTGGCAGCAGGCCTCAGAGATGAAGACAGAGCTGTGGGCCAGGAAATGGAGTGCACAGTAGATAGGGCAGAGCTCACCACCACTGCTGCTGCTGCTGGGTTTGCCCCTGGGACCAGGCAGGCAGGGAGTTGGAGAGGTAGGGGGTCTCACCTAGGAGTCCCCTGGCAGCAGGTCTCTGGCAGCAGGCAGAACTGGCTATCCTGAGTGGCAGCAGGCCTCCAGGGATCCACACAAAATAGTTTGATCATATTCTTTCCCTCCCAGCTTTTCCTTACGTCCCTGTCACCCATCTTCATCCACCCCACCCCTCTGGAAAAGCTACTTTAAGATTTCATACTTACTAATGTTCTGAGAACCAAGGCAAGATTTCTAGAACATAGCTGATTATTAGCATTTACAGGGAGTAATTAGAAAACGGGTTGTCTTTTCCTTGCCTCTGTGTCTCTCCTGGGTTGAAAGGTAATGTGGGCAAACCAGAAAGATGCCCCCTGTAAAAATTATTTTCTAATACGACCTTTTCAGCATTTTACCCTTGATCACATTGTAAATCAAAACTAATATATGGCTCTCTTAAGCTGATATGTGTTTCTGCCAACCCAGATACCTGACAGGTAAAGGGAGGCTTAAAGAATATGCACTGTTCATAGCTGTGTTGGTCAGATTAAACCACCAGCGGTATTAATGCTTCATCATTAACTGAGCATGTGTGGGTAATATAAATGTATTTTTGGTTTGTAGATTTGTAATTCAAGGTATGGAAGACTGGAGCTGCCAGACTTTTTCCAAGTGGTTACTATCACATCCAGGGCAAGTGGGCCTCATTGTGGTGAGTTCACATCTCCTTGAATCATGAGGAGAGGATTTAGTTGCGGTTGCAGTGCTAAGAAAGTACACATGTGGAAAATGAGTTATTATGAAGGGAATGGAGGTATCCTGGTTGCTCTGAGATGCATTTAAAATAAGATGAAAATGTTTATATATACGTAATGATATAATAAATCCAGTAAAATTATTACAGAAAATTGCTGGTTGAAATATGGGTATTTGTTCCATTCATTCATTCACCTTCTTAGAGTTTAAAAATATTCAAATAATAATATGAAATGACAATAACCTATAAATTACTTTCTTAAAGATGTCAACTATATTGCACGGTACACGTTTTTATTGTTAAAAGTTACCCCAAACTTGGCGTCTTAAAACTATTAAATTTTTAATTCTAAACACGTGTGTTAGCAGGAGACTGCAGGGCTCCTTGCTGGGATCCCCTTGTCAGCAGGAATATGTGGCGTCTCCTTATGGGACAATCTAATTTCTGGCCTCCACCAGCTCCTAGAGAGAAGGTCACCAGGACACCTCGGATTACAGCCTCTTCCTCCATCTTCAAAGCTGGTCGTGTTGCATCCTTCCAACTATCCTCCTATAGCTGTGTCTCCTACTCAGAGACAGACAGTTGGTTTCCATTGTAAGGATGCATGTGGCACAGATAGTCCAGAGTAACGCCATCTCAAGATTGTTAGCCACGTATACCATGTCTCTTTTGCCATCTTCATGGGGCCTAGGACATGTTAGGACAAGAATGACCTCGTAGAAAGCCATTATTCTGCACCCTTGTTAGGGTGAACTTTATTGCTTTTCTTGAGGTCAAAAGAGAGAAAGACTGCAGCAATGACTCAGCCATTAAGAGCACTGGCTGACTTGCAGAGGGCCCAGGTTCCATTCCCAGCACCCACACGGCAGCTCACAGCCTTCTGTAACTGCAGTTCCTGGGGATCAAATACCTCTTATGATGGTTCCTGCATGCATGGGATACACACACACATATATATGCAGGCACATACATAGTCACAAAAACAAATATTTTTTTAAGAGGAAGAGAAGGAAAATTAGAAAAGTGTGATAAGAAAACCAAAGGTGTCAGTTGTTCTAAGAAATTGTTGAAATCTCCCTCAGCAGAATGTATGAAATAGAAGACAAAAGAGGAACCCCAAGGGAAATAGCATTTGAGATATAGATAAAAGGCAGGCTCATGGCAAGTACTGCAAAAGGCTGGAGGGTGGCGGGCGTGTGTGTGTGTGTGTGTGTGTGTGTGTGTGTGTGTGTGTGTGTGCGCGCGCGAGCAGAATAAGAAGTAGGAGAGTAGCCATGGGAAGTTGAAAAGATGACTTTTTATTTGTGTCTTTGCTATTTCACTAGAAACACTGAATGATCATAATAAAAAGGGGTGGTCCTAATTTGTAAGGCCTCTAGAGATCTGCCTCATGGTTTGAATGTGAAATATCCCCCACACTCTTCTGTGTTTGAGCACTTAGTCCCAGTTAGAGGTGCTAGGTACCTCCCTAGAGGGAGCTGGCCATTGGTGGTGAGAGACACACTTAAGGTTTCATAGCCCTGACTGGGTCCTTGTTCTTAGCCTCTGTATGTGAGCAGGCAGCCTCATGCCCCTGACCCCACAGATGAGGGCAGCTACCCCTTCCACACCATGCCCTTTCCTGACAGGATGGAAGTACCCTTAAACCATGAGCCAAGGTAAGTTCTCCCTTATGGTCACTTCTTGTCAGGAATTTTGTCACAGCAGTGAGCAATGTCACTGATAGTCTGAACCCACACTACGTGTCAGTCATTAGGGCCAGTGTGAACATCCGAAACTGGCTTATCTGGAGAGAGAGAGAGGGAGAAAGCCAGATGGAGGATATGGGGCTGCTTCAGACTGTCCACAGCAGCTGACTATGATTTGCTTTGTGCTGTAGCAGAGGCGTGGTTTTACCAACTGCAGATAGTTGTGTGATGTTTAGAATTCTGGGAACTTTTCAGAGAGTATATAAATGCTAGGTCCCCGATAGACCTAGCATTTAGGGTGGGTGGTTGTTGGTCCTTTAGGGAGGTTATTTGTGGCTTGCTAATAGCCATGGCCAAAGAAGAAACAAAAGGAAAGAAATCAGATTCTGGGTTCTCTCTCTCTCTCCTCTATCTTTCTGTCCTATCTAGTGATAGGGGCTGAAACAGAGGGAAGGGATTGGGGGGGGGGGAAGAACTCACAGAGTAGCAAAGACAAGCTACAGTAACTATTATTAAATAAACATCATAGAAAACATACTTGACTTACAGTTCTTGTTTAAAAAAATAAATCCGCATTTTGTACATTGCCTGACCCCCACAACCTTCAAGCCTTCACCTAGTACTGTGGACAGAAATTTGCTTTCGACTTGACTAAGTGCCAGATCTTAAGCTGAAAGCTGCTATAAGATGTTTATATGACAGTGGTAAAATTATAGGGTAGCCTATACATTGTGTAGTTTAACAAAGTCAAATAGTCCAGTCTGACCTAAGAGGAGCTACTTCCTGGTTCCTGGTGACCCAGGGGTGCTTCACAGTAAACAGCACCTGCATTCTGTTCTTAGAGTTTATTACTCTCTAGTGGACTTTATCTTCAGTCACTGAATGTACCTTTGCCCAGGTCCCCCCCCCCCCATCTACCTTACCTATTGCTTATCCCCTACCCCCCCCCCAGGGTGTACTTTATAGCTCCCTTGAATTTCTGGCTCTCTTGAACTCAGCATAGAGTCATCTCTGAATAAAAAGATATTTTTGAGAGAATGGGACAATGAGATAGCTGTCTATGGTGGCCATGTAGACATTTTTCTATATAGATTTGTCCATGATACAGCAATTAGTTATTCCTCTATAAATAAATGTGTCACCATTCTAGAGGTGGTGAGACCTTGGAAAATGGAGTCGATGAATGAGTCTCACACAATGGCCAACTTTATTCAGACCTCTTCCTGTCCACTACACCTGACATTCTAAGAACAAGTTGGTGTTTTAAAGAAACTGAGGTCACAAGACTCTTGTCAGATTTTCTTGGAGTGTTCTCACAAGTACTCAGAATTGTCCTCACATGATTCTATTCCTGGACCATGTTCTGACATAAGTGTGTAAGTGGATTTTTGTTTTTGTTTTTTGTTTTTTGTTTTCTTTCATCACGACCACAGAATTCCCTCACCATAGGTGTTCTCACTTGCTATAATTCATGAACTGTCATCTCAAGCTATGCAGAGTGGAACTCCTGACTGGGTAGTTGTTTTTCCTCATACTTCCCAAGCCTTAGTCTCTAGCCACTCAATGACCACATCTTATAAGAGATAGCTTCCAAGTAGCACTCCCCAGAGAAGAGCACAATTAGTTGTTCAACATCAAACGGTCAGCTCTGAAAACATACAAGTAACAGTATAGAGATTGATCAGGTCGTGTTTAGGAACATATATGTATATACATATAAGTATGTAACAGCAATTAATGAAAAAATGAGATTGTGAATTTGAAATAGAGGAAGGAGGAGTATATGGGAGGGCTTAGAGGAAAAGGAGGGGAATTTATGTAATTATATTATAAACTCATAAAATTAAAGAAATGCTTTTTAAAAGTTAGTTTCTGTTGCCTGCAAAGAAAAGAAAAAAGAATGCTGATTAATATACCCTCTGAACCTTTCTACCCTCTGAACCTTTCTCTGGAAAAATATCACCACAACATGTATTTCCTCTATGCTAATTATTCCCATTTATATAACTGTATAAACTCTATTAATATGGTTTTAAGCACTTCAAGTTCAGCATGGTTCAAAGTGAATTAATGATGCCGCCTTGTCCAAACAAGGCATTCTTTCAAAAGATACTATCTAGACTAGGGTTGAAGTCCCATCAACCTGATTCTACAAACTTAGAAGCTTTCCTGATGATTTCCTTCTTTTTTTTTAATTTTATTTTTTTCTTATCAGTTACATTTTATTAACTCTGTATCCCAGCCGTGTCCCGATCCCTCATTCCCTCCCAGTCCCTCCCTCCCCCCCTCATCTCCACCGTGCCCCTTGCCAAGTCCACTGATAGGGGGGACCTCCTCCTCATTCATCTGATCCTGTTTTATCAGGTATCTTCAGGACTGGCTGCAAAGCTCTCCTCTGTGGCCTAACAGGACTGCTCCTCCCTTGGGGGGTGGGGAGGCCAAAGAGCCAGTCATTGAGTTCCTGTTAGAAATAGTCCTTGTTCCCCTCACTATGGGAAACCAATTGGTTACTGAGCTACCACAGGCTACATCTGAGCAGAGGTTCTAGGTTATATTCATACATGGTCCTTGGTTGCATGTCAGTCTCAGAAAAGACCCTGCGCCCAGATATATTTGGTCCTTGTGGAGCTCTTATCCTTTCCTCATCAGACTAACTCCCCTTCTTTCTTATGATTCCCTGTACTCTGCCAAAGGTTTGGTCATGAGTCTTTGCTTTGAAAACTCTGCTAGTTAGAGTCTTTCAAATGCGCTCAGTAGACTCCTGTCATATGTTCAATGCGCATCCCATCTGTCTTTCTAAACAAGGATTGATCATCTTACCCCATGTCCGCTCTCTTGATTATCTTTTTTAGGTGTATAGATTTCATTATGTTTATCATATCTTATAGGTCTATATAAGTGAGTATATACCGTGTTTGTCTTTCTCCTTCTGTGATATTTCACTCAGGATGATCTTTTCTAGATCCCACCATTTGCCTGCAAATTTCATGATTTCCTCCTTTTTGATTGCTGAGAAGTATTCCATTGTGTAAAAATACCACAATTTCTGTACCCATTCCTCCATTGATGGACATCTGGGTTGTTTCCAGGTTCTGGCTATTACAAATAAAGCTGCTATAAACATGGTTGAGCAAATATCCCTTTTGTGTACTTGAGCAAACTTTGGGTATATACCTAGCAGTGGTATAGCTGGGTCTTGAGGAAGCACTATTCCTAATTGTCTTAGAAAGCGCCAGATAGATTTCCAGAGTGGTTTTATCCGTTTAC